TATATCTATATATATATATGTATGTGTATATATGTATATATATATATATATATATATATATATATGTGTATATATTTATATAATAGAATGAATGTGTGTGTGGCATATCAAGTCCATCTGTTGTCAGCTTTCCATCTTCCTGGTTGTCATCATCAACGATAATGAGCGTACGCACAGTCTCGTGATGACAACGTCTTCTTTTATAGTCTAGGTGTTGGTGACAACCAGGCAGATGCTCCTAGCCCGTCAGTAACCTCCAATGCCATTTTTATCCAGTCTTTCCATCTTTGTCGACAAGCAGTTTCAGCACACGTATACATAGTAAAAAAACGAGACGAAATTGCTTAGATACTGAAGACTACCCGATTTGGACTGTCATCGTTGCCGCTTTTCAAAAGTGGACATGATCATAAAAATCGCGAACCAATGGGGATTGCCCTTCGCCACATTTTGTCTTTCTTGATTCGTAGAGGTTTTGCTTCCTATTGTATGTCTCGGCGACTTGTCCCTGAGGATAGCACAAAATAGAGAGAAGCTAAAAAGAGGGTGGTCCAAAAAGCATAAACTTCAAATAAAATGCCAGATTGACTGAACAAGCCCAAAGAGAGAAAATGAGAGGAACAGAGACAAAGAGGAGAGGGAAAAGAACGAGAGAAGTTTGAAGTTCAAACCATTCGACACTATTTGGACGAGACAATCTTCCCTCCGCAAGCTCAATCATATCTACATGAGAATTGTCTGCTCGAACTTCGTTTTCGTGAGTGTTGCAAGAGAAAAAACTGTTTCCAGACTAACAAATAGAACACAGAGCAAGAAGAAGAAAGTGAAGAAGGAGAAGAAGAAGAAAAAGAGCGACGAAACGCGAAGAGCACAGGTGAAAAGAACATCACCCACTCCCGTCAAATTCGACGACGCCGAGTAAATGTCCGCGACTTCAGCAGTGAGCTAAGTGGAGCAGTCCTGTCATCGTGGTTGCTGGCGAAGGTGCTTCTGTTTCGCACGCTGCGCGGGTGGCTGGGAGGTTTCGTGGGAACAGCGAATAGCTGCCTTCTCGCTGACGTCACAATCAATACGGGGCAGCCCAGAGTACAGACATTCTGCGGGTCGTCGTACGACGTCTGCTTCTCTGCACTCTGCATCTCATGATTTTCTATCAATTTCTCTCTAGCCTGGCGAGCGTGTTTAGACCCTCCATATGTCAAACACTGTCTGCTCGTCCTTCGTAACTGTCTGCACTCTCTTATGGATTTTCGTGCTCTCAGTTTGCTAGCCCCACTCGCGCCTCTCAATTACTTACATTGTCTAGTGTTGTGTGTGTCTATATGTCTGACCAAGGGAACTCTCCCTGGGCAGACTTGTTTTACTACCGCTTGCTGTGTGAATCTCTCCCGTTCATTATTCCTTGCTTGTATCACTTTTCCTTATATAATTGTGCTTAAATGTCATCAATCTACTTCTAAAAATATAGAAGTCCATGATGAAGCACATGAACATCAATTGTATTGATGAAAAATGACTTCATTTCATTTTATATTCGTCGTGTGTTTCGAATCATCATTTAATTTTACGTTTAAACTTCTTGTCTATGATTTCCGTCTTATCAAAGCATGCTTCGTCTCATCGCGACCTTACTCGTTGATTGTGACGTCAGTTACTTTAGTCAATATCCATAAATAGCCTCTTGGCTGTCTCTTCATAACAAAGCAATGCTCGATCAGTTATTTTTTTGCTTCGCAGTGTCTGCTGTCGAGTTTCTCTCTCTTTATGATCATCAATTATGCATCTTTCTCGCTTTTTCCGTGTAGTCCATCTTGCCATATATGATTTTTCATTTTGGCGTATTGTTTATAGCTTGTCTCTTTTTCTTTTCCTTTTTGCCTCTTCTCTTTCCACATATTCAATGACCCTTAGAAAGTTTTTTATGCATCGGTATGTGTTGCTGTCGATATTCTCATCTTCTTATCAAACGAGGTGACGTAATGTTCAATTGATGGGCGCATTCTGACAAAAATACACAAAAGTGTTCGCAGTCTGTGGCATTTCTGTTATGGCTTCTGCCTGCTACACGCTGTTATTCACATTGATTTTTTTGAGAACAACAACTTCCTAATGTAAGAGAAAATACCCTTCGAAAATTATTTTTGTTACCTTTTTCGTATCTTTCCTTATATGCAGTTATCGCCATTGTTCCGTTTTCTCTTTCGCATGCCTTTTCCCTCTTATTGAATCCTTCTTCTCTCTCCTCTTTCCATATCCAGCTTTTCTATTTCTTTTCACGGATTTCATGTTCCTTTTCTCTGCTCTTCGCGTATACCACAAGCTTCTCCTTCATCTTCATCATCACCGTGGACGTACTCGTTGTGGTCGTTGTCGGTGTCGCCTTTTCTTGTCGTTGGCGACAACGACATCGTCGTCTTTATCATATTGTCGTCTCCCCGCATTGATTTATTTTTTTTTGTACTCACATGTCTTGTCTTATTCGTTTTTGAATATAATTTGCTATTATCACCATGATTAGTCTTTTTTTTAGGTAAATAGCCTCAGCCTTCTCCTTGAGATGGCATTTGTGTCTGGAGGCGGAGGTGGGCTGCCTCCTCAGGGCTCACAACCACCGCAGCAGCTTTCCAATCTGGGTACAATGCCTACTAATCAGCAACAGATATTGGTGAGTTCAAATTATTTTGAACTACTTGTTCTCATCATGTTCTCTCATTTTTCTGTCAAAACTGTACTGGAAACTCTTTTTGCCCCTTTCTTTACTTCTCATGTTTCTCATGTCAATATTTTGTTATTCACAAAGCTCTCAATATAGTTAATTCTTTGCGAAGTAATATCGGAGACATTTTCTTTATTTTCCGTGATGTAAAATCGCTCTCTCTTAATCACGGATTAGATTTTTCATGAAAATTGCTTTCGAACAATCAGGAATATTCTTAATATAATTGATAAATGCCAAGAGTTTGGATCGATTAGTTAATGTTTGCTAATGAAGAGAGGATTAAATCGTATGTTCAAGAATCGAGGTCTACCCTCATCCTCTTCCTCACTCCCCCTCTAACTCCTCTTCTTTATTTGTACGGATGTTGGCAAAATGATGACATGGTTTCAGAGCATACACGGTCCATTTGTACAGGCTTCTTTTAATTGTTACATTTCTAAAAGTCAGAAAAACCATTCCAATCTTTGAAAACTCTTCATTTCACTTCCTTGCGAAACGCGCCTTCCCATCACCAATTGAGTCAACTGCATTGTTTACGGCTTTCGATAGTTACTGATGAGAAAGAGTGGACTGAACAATAAGAAAACTTATTGGTTCTTGTAAGATTTTGAATTTCCTCAAGCTTGTTCCACCTGCTCAGCGTTGGAGTGCTGTGCATTCAATTGGCCCTATTTGTGCCATGATTCAACGGAACTTCGTTAGGAGGTTTAAAATCCTTCCGCTTTGATAAATGTTTGTGACGTTCGTGAAAAAAATGTCGGAGAGGAATCAACTTTGGAGGCTTCTTCATCAAGTTCTTCGGTAGTATCTTAATAAGTTCTGAATCTCTCTTTTGGTCCTTTGCTCCATCACTTATCCATCATCAAATGACTGTTAATTTGGTTATGATGAAAAGCTTCATTGAGCTTAGAAGCCTTTCCATTCACTGATCTATCTTTGAAGCTAATCGGATATCCTGCTTCTATTCCATAACCATCCTGTTATTCATGTTGAAGTTAGCAACTGATAATTGCTAGAGATAGGAGCAGAAGAAGAATAACTAGATTTCTTTTATTCTCTCTATTTCCTTTCAATGTCTCAGCTAGGCCAGTGGTCGTAGAGCATGCGATTTCTGAGCAATGCTTCAGTCGACGATGGCATAGCTTTCATGAGTTGCTGAAGAAGTAGCTATGTGCTCGAGAACATGCGAAATATAAAGCCGTGTAAGAGAAAGAAGCAGAGAAAAGGAGTGAGACCAATGCCAGCGAGACAGCATAGCTATTCAAAGGGAGAGACATTCTTTTCGAAAACGGCTTTCCTTTCTAGTCTTGAGACCAAAGAGTAGGGAAGGCGACCAAGCCGAGCTGCTCTGAGCTAAGAAGAGAAAAGAGGCTAAATGTATACGTGGGTTTCTGTGAAGATTAAACTGGAAGCGTAGTTTAAGCTGATGATATGACTATGTAAGGGTACAGCATCTGCAATCCTCGGAAAGGTTTCAAGTCAAAGCATTGATATTTGAAAATGTCGCTCTTCTCGAGATTATGACGAGTTATTGTAATTGTTGACTCCCCATGATATCGCTAGAGATTATTACTGAAAAATTGAAAACCTCTGATTTTTGCTGCTTACTAGTCGGTAGAAACAGAGAGGTAGAGTCAAATAGAAAGAATAGGACAGAGATAAAGAAAGATAGTGATGCTGTTTTGAAGATTTTCAGTAGTAAAAGCTGGGCTACTGCTGCTACTACGATTAGTAGCCGCTTTCTCAAAGTAGATGGGGATTCAAGTTCTGAGTTGTGAGTGCACGCTTGTTTTCAAGAGAAAGTTCTTTTTACAGTATCGCGCTATGAATACTTATACACATATATAGATATATATATATATTTATAAATACATATATGTCATCATCTTCATGTCCCACCAAATATGCCTTTTAAATTTCCGAAATTTTGTTATTCACCATGATACAAATCCCCTAAAATCATTATTTTGAGTTCGAAAAAAGAGATTCGCAAAATGTTCATTTGAAACTGAAATGATCGAATTTCAGGAAGCCATCCTATTACAACAACAAGCGCAACCAAATTTGGTTTCTCAGCTTTTATCACAAGCCTTCATAGGTAGTAATACCCACTTTTAATATTTTGAACCTTAATTGTTTCCAGGAAATTCCGGAGTAATTGGTGGAGCTGGTGCGACGTTGAACCCAACTCCCATACCTCAAAATAATCCTGCCCAATTATCTGCTCCTTCAACTCTAAACAGTTTTAATCAATCTACTCAACTTCTTTCATTTCTTCAGAGTCAATTAGCTCTTCAGCAGCTCATCAGCCCAGCCGTAAGATTTAACTTGGCTCATACGATGTTTTATACTTCCTATTCAGGCTCAGCTGAACACTCAAAATAGTCTGGTGAACAATCCTGTTCTATTCTATCAACAGTTGCTTCAACAACAACAACAACAACAGCAGCAGCAACAACAGCAACAACAGCAACAACAGCAACAACATCAACAAGCTCTTCTGCAACATCTACAGGTATTCCGCCTGTGTTAGATATTATGCAATTTGTTCTTTCAGCAGCAAGTTGCTCAGTCTGCCACTACAACTCATGTACAGCAACCCTTACAGATCTCTCAGACTAACAGTGCATTTCAGCCTCCTCAACAAGGTATTTTTTTCAAGCCTTCAACTATTTCGATGAATTCACAGTATGCAGCATCTCTACTTCTATGAAAATGAGTTGTTGATAATGTGTGCCTAAAACTTCTTCGTTCTCTCTAATTTTTCTGTTTTGGCGATATCGGCATAAATTATATTTGTGAATACAGAAAATAGACAATATGATGAAAAAAAAACAATTTCATAAGCACAGCATACAGATTAGAAATATACAAAATCCATCACACTAACCATGCTCTTATTTCAATTTATGTTTGTTTTTCACAACTCTATTTCCAGCTTCATCTGGAGGAAATGTTCAGTCGCTTCTGAATGCTCAGGAAAAGTTGATGAGCTCCGTTCTGGAGCAGCAACAAATATATCAACAGAAGCATCAACTCCCGTTACCAACTCCAGTTCCCGTTCAGCAAGCTGCAGGGGTTCTGACGTTGGTTCGCAGAGATCAAGAGCAACAGAATCAGCAGGTTTGCTCATCAGTTTAAATACTCCCTTTCATGGAGTTATTAAGGCTCTGCATCTCTTGCAACAGGCTTCAACATCCCAAGATCCTCGAAGCGCGAATAACTTGAACCATAAAGAAGTGCATGATAGGATAAATAGGATTATAAGTGAAAATGAAGCTATTGTACAAACTCAGGAAGTAAGTTTACAAAAAACTGGGAGTTTTAATTCCACATTTAAGCCCATTTTAAAGCGTAGACCATATCATCGGCAAGTCGGACAGCAATCCTCTGTTGATCATGATAGTAATAGTAGTAAGTTAATATTCGTTGAGAACAATGGTTGTGGAGGGGATTCCATTCTGATTCATCGGAATAGTCAATTAGCATATCCGAGACTCACGTGAAAGTTATGCTTCAAATGCATTCTTGAAATATTGATCGTGTGCGCGGTTGTATTTTACCGTTTCAATAACCTTTTATCCGTCCATCTTAATTTTGTTTTATTAGGTTCCACTCGTACTTCTCCTGGAATTCGCGATGTTCGCATGCTTCAAACTGCTGGAAGAACGCAGTCTCTTTATGAGCCATTAAATGTTAGTTTGTAAGCTTATAATACATCCTTAATTTCTGCTCTCAGGGTGTTCGTGGATTATGTGGTGGAAGTTTAACTTCAGGTCAACCTATTTTGCGGCAAATGCAACAGCATTATACTCCCATTTGTACGTATTGTCACGTTGAGTAAGTATATGCTGTATAGTATGAACTTATTTCTCTGTTTTAGATTCCCTAATGAAGCGGGTCTTCAAGTCCATGAGTTGAGATGTAGTAAACGTTTGGAGTTAGAGAAGGTTAGCGATGGATGAATAAATTAGAAGACATTTTTCTTCAGAGTCGCGCTGAAGCTGCAGCAGCAGTTGTAGCGTCAGCTATTCCTAACACTTCAATTGCATCTGCGATCGTGTCACCCGTTGTTAACAACATAGAAACCGATTCGACGCGTCATCTTCCAACTCTCAAAAGAAGAATATTGGCTTCTGTAGAATTAGAGCAACAGGAGAAGAAGAAGCTATCAAGAAGGGTATAAACAGATTATCTGTTTTCGTACTAATGCTAGATTTCAGGACTCCGGTGAGATAATTGTCGTTGATTCACGACCTGAAAAGAAAGATAGCATAACTGACAATTTGTTACTTGGAAACTTTGCCAGGAGGTATTTCTTCAATAAGTTTGTTCAAGTCACCTTACCATTTTCAAGGTGCGCTAATGCCGGATTGAATATCTTGCCGTCCACATCCAGTGTTCCTTCAATAACTGGCTTGTCAAACCCTTTGTTTTTACCTGGTATACCATCTCTCAACGCAACTGCTTTCACTCAGGTATATCATTATCGTTTGATTTTCAATTCCAATATCTGTAGATTCCTGTCCGAGTGCAGTCGAATCAAACTCAGCTTGCCACTTTGCAAACGCCATCAACATCAATGTGCACGACGTCTGAAGCCAACATGGACGCTTCTGAAGCAACGGATGTATGTTTTTCCTCTTTAGGCTCAATCTTGAACCGTATTATTTTTAGAGTAGACCTTTCGCACTGAATGGAGTTACTCTTACGGGAAGACTTGACAGACCTTATACTCTCGTTCTAAACGAGTCTAGTAAGTCTAGCAGTCAAGAACCTTCAAAGCAGTTAGTTTAATTTCTCTTACAAGCAAGCACATTCAACTTTTTAAGCCCGCGAAATCGTGGCCGAAGTATAACTAGTGAAACGTATGTGTGCATGCATAGGGCACAGCCAATGTTTGTAGAACAAAAAGGAAACCTCAGTATGTATAGCAATTGGCACCAAGTGAGTTCTTGGTCTTCACTTTTTTCATCCATTATCTTTTCAGGTGACAGTAAATGAATCAGAATCGAAGCTGAATCTTCTTTTTATGGGAATGTGTACACCCAAACCGCGGACTGGGGAGCATTCATTCTGGCGTTATACAGCTGCTAATAGAGATACAAGCAACTTGAAGGTTACTCATTCTTCCTTCTGGGAAACAGGCCAAAAAATGAGATGTGTATGTCTTTACTTACATTTATGAAATGAAACAGATATCTTTTCAGTTGAAACTAGATATAAATGATGATGCATCAGGAGTTAAAGATGAAGATACACCTTTACCACCTTTTGAGGTTTGTAATCAATGAGGATCATGATAATTGTGTTCTCCAGCTCATTGAAACCAAGCCAGTCGAACCGAAGGTTGAACCAGAGGAAATAGTTGTTGAAGAAATCGTGGTGGACAAGGTGGAGCCCAAAGCTGATGAAGATGTTCTTCTGAAGCCTAGTTCCCACTCAATCCTTATGAATTCGGAATCTATTGTTGGAGGACACAGAACAGATGAAGTAATTCTAACGAAGATTTTTGTGAGACTGTTTAGGTCGTGTTTTAAGGCTTACATTTATGTTCGCGGTAGGGGACGCGGTCGTTATGTGTGTGATAGATGTGGTATTCGGTGTAAGAAGCCTAGTATGCTGAAAAAACATCTGAAATCACACACCGACATTAGACCTTTCAAATGCAAGCAATGTAATTTTAGTTTCAAAACTAAAGGCAATTTAACAAAACATCTGAGTTCCAAGACCCATAGGAGACGTGTACAAAATGGTATTTCTTCTGAGTTTTTTGTTTGTGCTTTATTAGTTATAGTTACAGAAGAAGAAGGAGGTAGTGACAATGAAGATCGCCTTGAAATAGCTGAGGATGACAATCCTGAAGAGCATGCGGCAGAAGAAGGGTTCCATGATGATTCATGGTAAGCTTTCGGTATATTATTTCTTTGAGTTCATTATTTTAGCAGCACGGACGATGAAGATGATGAGGATGGTGCGCATATAGATATGGATATTAATGTTATGGAGAATTTGCCTTTCAAGAGATTCGGACAAGGTTTGAACCTTGAGAATAATCTTAATTGTAACAATTTTCTCTTCAGAGAACATTATCATGGAGAGAACTGCTCACACGCCTCCTTCGCGATGGGTGCTCTTTGATGAAGATATAAACAATTATTGGCCTGAAAATAACAATCGGCAAGAAAGAAGGAGATGCAGTTCGGCTCCACCAGCTGCTATGGCAAGTCCACTCGGTCAACCTCGTAATGAAGATTGTAAGTTTTTTTTTGAAGTACTCCCTGATTTTTTCTGATGTCTGTTTCTTACCGCATATTTTAAGCTGCCTTCGTCTCACAAAAGCTGTTCACTACAACATCCAGTGGTACGACGCCATCATCTGTAACCTCATCGACGACGAACACAATTGCACGTCCTGGAAATCAGCAAACCTCTTTGTTGCTTTCCTTCATGTCGAAAGAGGTTAGATTTCTTTTTTTTCACTTGAGCATGATCTTCACGATTTAATGTTGTGTGCTCAGTTTCACAAATTTCCTTTATTTTTATCTCTACTCGTTGTTTGCTCTTTTTTATTGTGATAGTGAAATTTAGGAGCCGTTGAAATGTAACATGTGTGACCGCAGTTTTCGCAAACAGTCCGAATTGTCTTACCATCAACTGACACATAACATTGAGAAGCAAAATCCAAAGAATCGCATGTTTCAGGTAGTGTTTGTGTTGGTCTTTCATTTAGGGTCTTTTTTTTTAGTGTCCTGAGTGTCGTGTGCCCCTACGAACTAAAGCTCTACTCGCCAAGCACGTCGAAAATTCGCACGGTGGCCATGTGAGTACTCTTGATTTTTAAAATTTTTCTTTTTGTCTTTGTGAGCCTGCTGCCTGTTCTCTACATGTTTTGAAACTTCTTACAGTGTTCTCTTCGTATATGTGCCTAACTGAGTTCCGTAAATATTATTCTATTGAAAATTCGTCTTGTAACTGCTTTCGTCCTGTCGCTGTCATTAGGTGATGTCTTTCTGTGTTGCCTTCACTGCTAATCTACATGTTCTTTTGTCTTGTGAGTTATCATCTGAATTAACGAATTGTTCAAAATTTAAGTTGGCTCACTTTCAGATGTTGATACCAAGTTTGCTTTTATTTATCTTGTTCATTTTCAGATTGATGATAGCATAACACCTAGCGTTGATCCCAGCGCCTCAACACAGTCTGTTCTCGGTGGAGGTTCTGCTTCACTTGCTCATAATCCTCGATCTTTCCTATGCACGGATTGTGATATAGGCTTTCGCAAACATGGGATTTTAGCGAAGCATTTAAGGTTTCACCCACCAATTGTTTGTCATACATTTTGGTTTAAGGTCGAAAACTCATGTCATGAGGCTGGAAACGTTGAAAAAGTTGCCTGTTGATTCTCTATCTTTGATAACAAGGAAGTACAATGGTAATATATTGAACGAAGTAGATACTACCGATTGTGAAAAAGCAAGGAATAGTTTGTTTGGTTGGTGATTTCAGTTCGATCTCCCTTATTTTTGTTACTATAGAAATAGTTGAGAATATACGACAAGAACTACAACGGAATGCTTCAACAGCAACAGCATTGGCCCAGGTCTCCCCCGCAAGCAATGCTTCCAGTAGCTTAGAATGTAGGGAAATGCTTGTAGCCTCTCCAATACCTTCATCTGTAGTATCCTCTAGTCCAATGGTGTGCAGTAATATATAATTTTCAATCAATTTTACTTTCAGCCTTCTAATCAATTGGTGGATGAACAATCCTCATCCAATAAACATATCGTTGACAATGCTCATTCTAATAGAAGCAGTTCGGAAAAGGATGTGAAAAACAAGTAATTTGTGTTACCTTAAACCTTCCTACTTCTGGATTTTCAGTACGGATGCTTCGTTTCATATCATTCCTATCAATGACAATCCTTCATTATCCAAAGTTATTTCAGCTAATGTATGGGTCCCTCCTAAAACAGTAGAATCGGTGAGTCATAGTTTGTACTGATTGCAACTTTCCCCAGTTTTTGCGTAACCGTCTTTTGTCGTTTTGCACGATTTACTATCCTCTTTTCCTGTCATCTGTTCGTTTGTAGAGTTTGGATCGCAATGCCGCAATTTTTTCCAGTGCCAATAAACCTGGCCCCGAGCAATCAGTGGAAGTTCCAGTAACAGATGTGAAAATGGTCAGACTGCGCGCAAGGAACAGCCGTGATGACTGTAGATTCGATCTTTCAGGATGCAAACTCATCTTCACCTCTGCCAACCACTTCTAACGGCTTCTACTCACCATCAAGTGGGTCACAATGCTTGTATTGTGATGCAAGTTATGAAAACTCCATTGAATATCAGGTACATTTTGCTTAGAATACATTTTTATCAAGAATCTTTCTAGATTCACATGTATGCAGATCATATAACGGTAAAAGATGAGACCTACTTCAAATGTCCGAAAGGAGGGTGTGGAAAAGTGTATCCTAGTAAGGAATGCTTGCGTACGCACATCGTCGCTCATTATAAGTCCAATAAATCACCTGGTGAGTTTCGCTCACATAGTATGTGTTTTATATTATTTTCTTTTAAAGACACTAGAGAGGACGAAAGTGTCTCATCGTCTACATCTATAACAGCTGCAGGACGTGTTGATGAAAATGATGCTCGAAACTCCCCTCTCTCAGATACAACAGATAGCGCTTGCCAAAGCCCGATAAAGTTAGTTTCTTACCATTTTATGGAACGTTTAGAACGGTTGCATTCTTAAGCCTTTTTTTAAATTCTTTTTATAGCGTTGATTTGAGCAAAGGAGTGGTATCAGAAACGCGTCCAACAGAAGAACTCCGGTTACCGTGCAGTTTGTGTCAAAAAGTGTTTCCCGATGCCAACTCTTTACAAGAGCATTGGTTTGCTCATGTTCCGGTTCGACCTAACGTTTGTGATGTAAGCAGTGATTAAAATTAATAAAAACATGATTGTATACGATAGGTTTGTGATGCTGGCTTCACAACACATGAACAGTTGTTAGTTCATGCAGAGACTCATGTCGATGAAAAATCGAATGTACGTTTTTTTTAAATGAATAACAGTTATAAAAAAGAGGGAATGTTTATAAATCACTTTGTTTCAGCTAGCCAAACTTTAAATAATTCTTAGCTGTTAGTGTTCCTAGAAGATTACCCCTCCAAAATTCGGGTATTGTGGTGATAAATCTTCTTCTGCCTCACCTCTTGTCGTCTCTTTGTATAGATTGTTTTAAAGAATATGCCATATTTTAAAAAAAAAACATGTTTCTCTCATTTGTGTGGTTCCGATTGCGCTCGTTCTCAAACCACAATTTCCATTCCATCTCTGTTCAGCTCATAGATACATATTAGTTATATATGTATATAATACTGTTTGTTGTGATTCCAAAACGTTGTCATGATTAGGGTTTAGAGACACACTGGTTATCTTTGTATATAATTGTATTTTCTCGTTTTGCTCTATTAATATATTTTCCTCCTTTGAGACTTCTCTAACTCCCTTAATAATCTCTCATTATCGCTCATTGCACATAAGAATGTTACTAACTCATACACTCATTTGGGTTGTAGAACATTGAATGATATGTTCTCTTAACTTTATAATATGATATCTGTTTGTCTTTTTGTTATTTATTGTAATTCCAGAGAAAATACGTTTTAGAATAACTTTAGTAACAAACTTTCTTGAAGAAATCTATTGAAATAAAATTATAAAACATTGTTTTCTGTATTTGTTATTCAAGTCAACAAATAGTGTTTCTCAGATGACATTATCAATTCGGGTGGATGTAACTTATGTCAAACGTATATTATCTGTAATCTGTTGCGTTAGTGATGTCAGCTTGGATGGCCTTCCAATATATATAATATATTCGACGGGGGACTTTCCACATGTACAAGGAGGAACAAGTACACAGCGGGTACATAGCACTCGTACGCAGCAGTTGTACACCGTTCGTGTACAGGTGTCGGAAACAAATTTAAAATTTAATTTTTTAAAAAATTCCGGATCTGAGAAGCATTTCAATACAGATCTTCTTTTTCATTTCAATGGTCATTTTTTGAAGTTGTAGTTTGATTGTCGAGTTTGCCCTTGCGTGCTCGACCTCAGCTGATCTCTGGTTGAGTTCTGCTCCTCCATTCAACTTACAGGACTATTGATTAGGAACCTTTGTAAACCTTTCTTCCTTTTTTTTTAAATTGCTATAAGGTAACTTCAAGCGTGTTCCTTGACGCTTTTTCTGACTTGTGCCCTCTGCTTTGATCTGCTTGTGTGTGATGAATCAGGTTAAGAACTGACCATTCAAACACTCCTTTCTTTGAAGTTGTAGTCCGGTGTCCAACTCTGATCATTCGTAGTAGCCACGCCCATCTCGAAAATTCCTCCTATTGCTCATTCAATCAACCAACAAGGCTATTGATTATTTTCTCATTAATCATCTCTTATAAACAATATATGTCGGTCTTTCTTATTTTCATTGATTTCCATAGTTTTCACCCGATGGCTTTCCCCTTCTCACTTCTTCTCATGTAAGCGCTGTTACAGACGGTTCTGTTCATTTCCAGTTAATCTGTTAATGCGGCATGATTTAATAACTAATACTTTATGGTTCCTGCTTCCTATTGTTTCTGTGTATCTGTGCTCCTTCCTCCTTTCGCCCGACTGTTCAACTTGCTGGGATAAGATTAATCACAGCGTTCTTTCTCCTTCTTACTCAATCTCACATTGCAACAATATGTATTTTCTTCGGTATGGTAGGATCTCGCACAGCTTCTTTTTATCATTCTCTTGTATCATTTTTGAACTGATATCTAGAAAGGCAGATTGTCTCACTCATGTCCTCGATTTCGAAATTATTGAGAGCCGATAGCTGCACGCGTCAATTCTCATTTGTCCAAGAAATAAGGAGAGAGAAGTTCCAGCCTTCGAAATTTGTGTCATAGTTTCTTTCATCTTGATTTGTTACTCTTCATCCTTATTCTATCTCTATCACGCAAGAAATATAATGCGAGTTCTTGCTGTTAGTTCTCATTACTTGTTCTTTTTGGTTTGAAAATGTGAAAGGGTGAACTCTACTGGAAAGTGGATGTGGCTCCTCAGCATGTCATATTTGACATTGATCATTCGCTTCCTCATCATCACTTGCCCGCTTTCAGTTATATTGATAACTATGGGAATCACCCAGGTGGTTATGTTTCTTGAAGTATTAGATCTTGTTCGTCTTATTTGTTTTATTCCTTGTTCACCCTTGTTTCTAAACTGCGAATACCTTGCTTATGTACTTATCTTAAGGTTGGCTATGTTTCATTCCGAGCTGTTCCTATCTGCTCGACAATTCCCTGTGTGTTCTCAAAGGTTGTTCAAACAGTTCTTACTTAAGAATAAAAAATTTATTTGAGACGGTGAAACATGATGGCAACAACTGGACGATGAAGATGGAGGATTCTGGCCCCCTTGATGAACTC